AATTATTGATCGTCGCTCTTAGCCAATCAAAATCGAGGAATTCCGTGAAATTTTGGTGCGGCAGCTAGGTTCAATGTGAGATTCATAAGCGATTTTTACTAAACGAATGAAATTTTCTGATTGCGCAACGTTACACTAAATCGTAGTTCATTATTGTTTCGTCGATCATCACGTGACAGCAAAATTACATGGTAATTTTTTTGGCGATCCTGAGGTAGTTACATTAGCATCACTAATCACGAGGTGCGTACCGCTTCACTAGTCTCACCTCAAATGTTACAGGTGTAATGGTGTATTCAACCTATTTATGCCAATTTTTTTACATAGCATGCCATAAATAATGGCTATCAAAAACTTTCGTGAACGTATTATAGAATCTTGCGGAATCTCAGTTTGTCTCGCAGTTGTAACGACAGTTTATCTTTGTCTTACCCGTTTTGAGTCTAAAGAATCCAATCTTCTAAACTATGGAATCTATTACTATTTTGTTGTGAAAACCTTGTATGGCAGTATTATCGCCCATATGATACCATCATTTTCAATATTTTATCTTCTTTTAATAATTGGGCTTCTATTATTACAATACACTACTGGTACCAACTACATTAGTTATGTCCAGTCTTCTGAAACGCTAAACGGTCCAGACGTTCCGTGGCTTATATTGGGAATCGTAATTGGACTTTTGTTGTATCCGATTATTCTAATAATCGTTATGGCAATTCAGTATCGCTTGTATTTTAAATGGTTGGAAAATAACTATAAAAATAATCCAGATACACTTTATGATTATTTTCTTCATTCTAAATCATACACAATTTTTATTATAGTATGTTCAATTTATCGCCCACTTAGCGCAGGCGAAGTTGAAATGATTAAAAAGTGGATTAAATCACCTTTCATTAAAATGGAGTTATCTACTGACCATGAAAATCGGTATTTATCGAGCATTCAGTTATCAGATAGCCCTTGTGCTTTGACTTTTGCTGAAGTAATTTATAAGCTAGCTTTTGAAGAATTTTTTATATTTAAAGAAAGTCTAGCAGATGATAATATGAAACCTACCACCATTGTAAGTGAAGAATAGGCATTCAATATCTTTGTTCTTAATCTTAATAAATTGTAGTAAATATGTCATGTAAAAATGATGAAATTTATATTTGTTTTTTTTTTGAGGAGTTATCAGTTTTACTTTAACGGTTAATAAATAAACGCAATTATAATTTAGTTTAATGTTTGAAATTTATAATAATGCTGATTTTTTTTCATGCAAAAAAAAAAGAAAATGTACTTTAGAATCAATAAATCCTGTTTTCCGATTTATTAAATCACATTAGTGGTTAGGGTGTCATATAAATAAAATTTTTTATTAGCTAGCGACTGTAAATAATAACATGTACGTAGAATATGAATAAGTGAATGTACACAAATAAATTTGCATTTATTAATGCGACTTTTAAGTAACCGAGATAAAAAGCCAATTATTAAAATTAAATAGTTCTAAGAAAAAATTGATTTAATCAAATTAAAGAACACGCTAAAAGAAATCAATAAATTTAAAATTTTATGCTTTTTATAATTAACTATGAAAGCTCATTTTTTTTACAAGTTTACAGTACTTGTTTTCATATTAATTGTGACTAGTGGAATTTTCAGTCAGAATTGTAGGCTGACTCCAAATTCACAACCAAAAACTATTGTTCGATATTATCCTGCTTATAAATATAATTTAAAAGCATATGATTTTCAAATTAATTCGTCAATTACTCATTTATACTATATTGGTAAGTTAAATTATTGTAATTTTATAATATATAGATTAATTAACAAATATTACTTTAAAAAATAATCGTAGCATTTGGTCCAACTGATCTTACTAATGGTACTGGTCCATATCAAATTTTTCAAAATCAATACAAAAAATTTCAAGAATTAAGAAGTTATAAGGATAAAAATAGTAATTTAAACTATAAAGTAAATGTATATTTATTGTAAAAGCTTCTTATCATAATGACTAACCATTTATATTTAATATTTCTCATCATCATGACTAACCATTTTATAGTTAATTATTTCGGTATTGTTGCCTGCTGACGATAATTTAACAAAAATCCCCCCGTTTGCTAATGTTTCCGTTGGACAGTATGATTCTTCCAGTCCACTTACTCAGCAATTTATTAATGAATTATCAGCAATTGTTAGTAATTATTCGTTTGATGGTGTAAGTTTAACTATTTTTTGTTTAAATTAATGAATATCCATTAGTATTAACTAATTACTTATTAACTTATAGATTGACATTGATTATCCTAATAAATTTCCATGCTTTCAAGCAACGCAATTCAATGCTACTTCTTTAGATTATGTTTTCACACTGTTACTAGCTGATATTTCAAAGAAATTGAAACCGATTAATAAGATTCTAACGGTGACGGCGGGCCAATATCCTATATCTGGTTTAAACTCTAGCATTACTAATTTTGTAAATATTCAGGTAGATTCGACCTTTTTTAACTTTTTAAATGATGACATTATGAATCTTTAATAAATCATGTAATATCCGTCCGTTGCATGTGTTGATAACAAATTAAACTAACTTATTTAATTTATAATATTTTAGGCATTTTATCTTAATATTAATGCCAAATATGCAAGCGCTGGAATAAATAATATTAAAAAAATTTTTAATGTCTGGAATACCAGGATAAACATGTCAAATCTTGTTTTGGGAATCAATTTTGGTGGAATTGTTGAATTGATTAATTCTGATAATATTACAAGGGATACTATTAATAACAACCTTACGATTATTAATGAAACAAATATTCAATACCCATTTTCTGATGAACTGATTTCAGATCCGTGTAGAGTTTCAGCATATGCATCTTGGTCATGGAAAAATTTGAGTAGGACATTATCACCGCCTTGTTCGAAAAGGCTTCTTTTCCATGGACACGTGGCTTTGATTATATAGCACAACAGCCATATATTTACCTACAACAACCAAATTCTTCTACACGATTCTATTACGTTTCTTATGAAGACTTTCAATCATTACAATCCAAACTTGATTTTGTACAGCAGGTTAATGCGTTAGGAATTGCAATTTTCGATATTACTACATTAATGCATTTCGAAACAAATCATACAGGTCCTTATCATTCTCCTCCTCAACATCCTCATAATCCTCCTCCTCCTCATCATTCTCCTCCTCAACATCCTCATAATCCTCCTCCTCCTCATAATACTCCTCATCATAATCCTCCTCATAATCCTCATGCTCCTCCTTATCATAATCCTCCTCCTCATCATAATCCTATTCCTCCTCAACCTAATCCTATGCCTCATCAACCTAATCCTATTCCTCCTCAACCTAATCCTCCTCATCCTCCTCCTCCTCAACATCCTCCTCCTCCTCCTCATAATCCTCCTCCTCCTCAACATCCTCCTCCTCCTCCTCCCCCTCATAATCCTCCTCCTTCTCCTCCTCCAAATTCAGATAAAAATAGTGATAATAATCATTCGCCCTTTGCAGCAGTAATGGGCGGTGTAGTATGTGGGTTCATTGTTGTTAGCATATTTGTGGTGGGCTTTATATCATATCGAAGACAGAGGGCGTAAAGCAAAAATGCCTGACTTATTAATAGACACAAATAATAATGCTTGTTCAGATACAAATCGTCAGGTTTACTCTGATATAAGTCGTCAGATTCTCTCAGATACAGATAATCATGTTTATTCTGATACAAATAAAATGGATTGATAATTACCACTATATGAAAATATGTAAGCTTATAAGCTGAATTTTTGATAAATGCATTTAGTATGCTAATTTAGTATTGCAACTCATTATCTAATTTAGTATTGAAATTAATGTATAATTTAGTATTGAAACTAATTATCTAATTTCATTATATAATTTAGTATTGCAATTATCGTCGTATAATATAAGTTAGCTGCGAGAAGTTGTTACGCAAAATCAGGAACGGAAAATATTGGAAGTATTACACTTAGTAAATATATAGGTTGTTGCACTACTGTGGTGTGTGAATTATTCAGTAAAATCAAATACAGTCTAGTCCCATATAGATTTGCAATATTGAAATTTTTATCATTATAAGTAGTTCAATTGGGTGTGACCAAATATGCTGGATGCAAGATTTAAAAAGTGAATTTTGAAACTAAGTTGCGTTAAACCTAAAGGTACAGACATAATGCCGTAAACTTGTCATAACTGTAATTTATATTTTTGCTATAACTTACAATACAATTTCTAGACTGTAATAGGTAAAAGTCTGATCCTTATTTATATAACTCTAGAATTCAAATGCAATGGCTTTTATGCTTACTAATTAAGCGAATAAATTAATAAATATTTAGAAATTTAATAGCTTACTAAATACTTAGAGTATAAATATTCGTTACATCATCACTAATTTAACACAAATAAAATGAAATTGAAGAGTAGATACGCATGGAATTTAATGGCTTATTTTCAACGCTTATATTAACGCAAGTTCTTCGCACTTAATGCACCGAATCAGCATAAAAAATGCAAATATTTGTTAAGTTCAGTAATTTATTTTAAATGCTTAAATTAAAAAATGTTCTTTATGTTATATTAAATTAAGTCGATTTCTATTCGTACACTAGTGTATGAAACACGGGTATATATGTAACTTAAATTTTACTAATTAAACATCCTTTGCGGCTCTAACAAAAAAAATCTGTGAAATTTTAGTATAAACTTTACCCTAACCCAAACCTTAACCTTAATCAAACTAATTTTGTTTCTTTAATTTTGTGTTACACGGATTTACAAAATTATACCCATGTTTCATACACTAGTGTATGTTAAGAAATTTTCTTAAATTAACGCAAATAAAAAAAAATCCAATAAATATTTATGAGATTTTATTATTTTATGTGCTTCTTAGAATAATAAAAGTTTTTACTCAACACTAAATTAACATGAACTAATTAAATAATAAATATTCATTAAGTTTAATAGTTTATTTAAATATTTGGATTAATAAATGTTACTTATATCATGCACTAAATTAATATAAATAAAATAAAATTAAGTAGTATATATCCATGAAATTTAATGGTTTATTTTAATACCTAGATTAACCAATGTTTTTTTTATTTGCGCACTAAATCAGTGCAAATAAAATGGAATTAAATAGTAAGTATTCATAAAGTCAGCTTATTTCAGATGCTTGAATAAAATAACTGTTCTTTTATCACTAAATTGAAACCCATGTTAGTTAATGGTTTATTTTAGATGATTACTCTTAATACACTAAATCAACACGAATAAAATAGAATTAAATAATAAATATTCTATTAAGTTTACCAGCTTATTTCAAATGTTAGTGCAATAAAACTTTTTATGCACTAAAATGCGCTATGCATTAAAATATAATTCCATAATTGTTTACTAATTTCATTCAATTTGCACTAACTTACTGTGAGCATCGGTATAAGATGACCTATCTAAAGTATATACGAAGGGGAAAGCTACGGGCACAACATTTCACGTGACTTATAGACACAACATCGGCCTGAGTTAGGGTTAGAGTTAACGT